CTTTCCCATGTATGTAATGAAGTCGTGAGAGTCTCTGTGTGTGTGTGTGTGTGTCTCTGTGTGTGTGTGTGTGTGTGTGTGTGTGTCTGTGTCTGTGTCTGTGTGTGTGTCAGGAGCTGAACAGGAAGAGGACTGAGCTGCTGGTTCCGGGTTCGAGGCTGTCGGCTGCTCCTCAGGCTGCTGTTCCTCTGCTGCTGGTTCATCAGGGCGGTCGTGTTCGGGGCGAGGAGCGTCTGCATTGGGGCTCCGGCTGGGATCTGCTGCTGCCCAAGGGCTGGGGAATGGCATTCTGGGTCCCTCTGGTAAGTACTGACGCCGTCTGTGTTTGGTCCACCTTGTTCTCACATTGTTCATTTTGATCCCATTTCTTGTCAGTTATGTTTGTAAGTGGAATCAAGTGTAAAGTCCCCAGGAACGCTGGATTTTCCATCTCAAGTGGCTCAAAGAAGGATGCCTGACTGTTTTTAGAGAAAAATCCCCTCACTGTAGGGTTGATTATCTCTGATGGGGGGCTGGAAAGGAATATATAACCCTGCTGTAAATGTTGAGTTTGAAAAATCCAAGAGAAAAGCCTACTTTATTCATCATTTGAGAAATGAACAAATGTTATACACTCATAACAAATAATAAGTGTTGAACAGTACTTTACAGTAATTGTTTATGATTGACATACAGTTGTCTAAAGCAGGGGCCTTGGAAATAATCCAAGGGGGACAGAACTTTTAAAATAATTTGTCCCATGACACAAAGACAACCGCTGTGGTTAAAATAACAAAATAAATGGTGGTTTTGTAAAACCAATACATAGAGGTAATTTAAAAACAAAAAGAGGACAGTTAAAAATGGTCCAGCAGCACCACTGGAGCGCTCGAGATGAACTGAACCGATGGTGGGTTAAGGTTACACACAACAATCTGTCGTCTGTGCTTTCACTGCAGAACAACACTGCCGTTAGTTACTGACACAACGAACAAATCACATCTGTTCAGAGCTTTCCATGCCAGTATCTCAGAAAACAAGCTGCAAAAAGGAAGTCTTGAGCATCTTCACTGGAATCACACGCAGAGCGTAATAGATCCTGTAGTTCTCCAGCAGCATCACTGATAGATCATCATTTTCAATCAGTATTTCTGCCGCCTCGCGCTCGGTTACTTCACTTTACACATCAGATCAATGTGAATGTGTTTTGTAGGTGTATCGTGGTGTTCGTGTCGGAGGCCTCCACATGAGTGTCAAACACTCCCAGTTTATGGGTCAGCCTCACTTCCCTCACGATTACCCAGACTGCCCTGCAGGAGTGCGCTTCCAATCAGAGCAGGAGGCGGAGCTTCTACAAAAGTTCAAAAGGTGAGGGCTGTGTGGAGAAATCTTGTGTTTTATGCCCTTCAGCACAACAGTGTCTCAGTCATAATCAAATAGAAAATTACTTCACTGCTTTCAGACGTCCTCCATCCAAACGCACCAACTACATCAAACATGGCTGCTTAGCGCCGTTCCGTTGCCCCTGGCAACAGCTGACGGAGGAGTGGGAGGAGCTAGTGAATCTGAGCGCAGAGACAACAGGCGGCTGCAGAACCGGACCCTTCACTGTTCTGAGGTCAGTCATACACTACACGACTTACAGAGTCGATCGATTGCTGTTCTTTTCACTCCGCTGGGCATTCTGGGTCCCTCTGGTAAGTACTGACGCCGTCTGTGTTTGGTCCACCTTGTTCTCACATTGTTCATTTTGATCCCATTTCTTGTCAGTTATGTTTGTAAGTGGAATCAAGTGTAAAGTCCCCAGGAACGCTGGATTTTCCATCTCAAGTGGCTCAAAGAAGGATGCCTGACTGTTTTTAGAGAAAAATCCCCTCACTGTAGGGTTGATTATCTCTGATGGGGGGCTGGAAAGGAATATATAACCCTGCTGTAAATGTTGAGTTTGAAAAATCCAAGAGAAAAGCCTACTTTATTCATCATTTGAGAAATGAACAAATGTTATACACTCATAACAAATAATAAGTGTTGAACAGTACTTTACAGTAATTGTTTATGATTGACATACAGTTGTCTAAAGCAGGGGCCTTGGAAATAATCCAAGGGGGACAGAACTTTTAAAATAATTTGTCCCATGACACAAAGACAACCGCTGTGGTTAAAATAACAAAATAAATGGTGGTTTTGTAAAACCAATACATAGAGGTAATTTAAAAACAAAAAGAGGACAGTTAAAAATGGTCCAGCAGCACCACTGGAGCGCTCGAGATGAACTGAACCGATGGTGGGTTAAGGTTACACACAACAATCTGTCGTCTGTGCTTTCACTGCAGAACAACACTGCCGTTAGTTACTGACACAACGAACAAATCACATCTGTTCAGAGCTTTCCATGCCAGTATCTCAGAAAACAAGCTGCAAAAAGGAAGTCTTGAGCATCTTCACTGGAATCACACGCAGAGCGTAATAGATCCTGTAGTTCTCCAGCAGCATCACTGATAGATCATCATTTTCAATCAGTATTTCTGCCGCCTCGCGCTCGGTTACTTCACTTTACACATCAGATCAATGTGAATGTGTTTTGTAGGTGTATCGTGGTGTTCGTGTCGGAGGCCTCCACATGAGTGTCAAACACTCCCAGTTTATGGGTCAGCCTCACTTCCCTCACGATTACCCAGACTGCCCTGCAGGAGTGCGCTTCCAATCAGAGCAGGAGGCGGAGCTTCTACAAAAGTTCAAAAGGTGAGGGCTGTGTGGAGAAATCTTGTGTTTTATGCCCTTCAGCACAACAGTGTCTCAGTCATAATCAAATAGAAAATTACTTCACTGCTTTCAGACGTCCTCCATCCAAACGCACCAACTACATCAAACATGGCTGCTTAGCGCCGTTCCGTTGCCCCTGGCAACAGCTGACGGAGGAGTGGGAGGAGCTAGTGAATCTGAGCGCAGAGACAACAGGCGGCTGCAGAACCGGACCCTTCACTGTTCTGAGGTCAGTCATACACTACACGACTTACAGAGTCGATCGATTGTCACATGATCAGCCTCTGTGTGTCACATGATCAGCCTCTGTGTGTCACATGATCAGCCTCTGTGTCTGCAGGAGTCTGAAGGTGTTGCGGCGGCTGTCGGCGTGGAGTCATCCCTCGTCTCGCAGGAGCTCCTCAGCGCTGACCCATGCGACGGCCGCGGCGCTGCAGCAGGAGTGTGGGCCGAGTCTGGTGTGGGTGCGTCTGCGTCTGTTGGGTAAAGGCCAGCCGGCACTGCATGCCATGGTGTGCATCCCGACGACCTCTGACCTCCAGCTGCTGCTTAAAGATGCACACAGCAGCGGCCCGCAGGAGCCTCGACACAAAGACCACCTCAAACGCCTGCGTCAGAACACAACCGGTCCTGAAGATCCGGCCCGTGCCGTGAGGGGTGTGTGTCCGGCGCCGCTGCCCAGTGTTCTGCCCCACTGCAGCCGGCTGACTCTGGGCTGGGTGACGCAGGGAGACTTCTCTCTGGCTGCAGGCTGTGGCGAGGCGCTGGCCTTCATCAGTGTGTCTGGACTCCTGCACACCATCCTTCAGCAGCCGCAGGAGCAGCGCGGCCTCGTTCTGCTGCGAAACCCCTCGTCACTGCAGTACCGCTTCGCTCGCATCAGCATCGACGTGTGAAGCAGAGCCACACTGTGGCGTGTTCACGGACCGATGCATGTCACACTGCCAGGACTCCATACACAGGAGAGCATGTGCTGAAACTTTTTTGTTGTGTTTTTTGAGAGAGAGAAACTCTTTACATGTTAAAATGTGTTTTTTGTTTTACTGGAATTTGAGAACGATTAATAATCAGTGCCAATTAAAGCACTTTACCTTCATGAGATCTGACGTTTTGAGAGTTTGTGTGTTTAGTTTCATGTTTCATTAGTTGAGTCATGTCATCATGTTTCAAAGTATCAAACTCTGTTTCACATTACTCTAGTTTATTAAAAAAAATCATAACACTTAGACAGTTATGCATTCAAAATGAAACCTTTTCAAAACTCAGTTAGTCGGACCTGCACTCAACCTCTCTCACAAACACACACACAAACACACTCACTCACACACACACACATACTCACTCACTCACACACACACACACTCACAAACACACACACTCTCTCACACTCACACACACTCTCTCACACTCACACAAACACACACTCACAAATACACACACACCCTCTCTCTCACACACACACACACACACACGCCGACAGTCTCACACACAAACACTCATACACACTCTCAAACACACGCTGTCACACACACTCACAAACACACACTTTCACACACACACGCTGTCGCACACACGCTGTCGCACACACACTCACATACACACGCTGTCGCACACACACACACACACTCACACGCTGTCACACACACTCACACACGCTATCACACACACTCGCATACACACGCTGTCGCACACACACACACGAAAAAAATCATAACACTTAGACAGTTAGTTAGTCGGACCTGCACTCAACCTCTCTCACAAACACACTCACAAACACACTCACTCACTCACACACGCGCACACTCTCTCACTCACAAACACGCGCGCACTCTCTCACTCACACACAAACACGCGCACACTCTCTCACTCACACACAAACACACGCACACTCTCTCACTCACACACACACACACACACACTCTCTCACACAAACACACACACACTCTCACACTCACACACACACTCACACAAACACTCGTACACACACACACGCACACGCTGTCACACACACTCACACAAACACACACACGCACTCACACAAACACACACACTCTCTCACACACTCACACAAACACACACTCACACCCACACACACACACACACACACTCTCTCTCACACTCACACAAACACACATGTTGTGTTTCCATGTTTTATGGGGACTCTCCATAGGCGTAATGGTTTTTATACTGTACAAACTGTATGTGCTATTGCCCTACACCAACCCTACCCCTAAACCTACCCTTTACAGGAAACTTTGTGCATTTTTACTTTCTCAAAAAAACTCATTCTGTATGATTTATAAGCTTGTTTCTTCATGTGGAGCTCAAAAATGTCCCCACATTTAGACGCCAGTTTTCCATATTTACTGTCGTCTGATTGCGGCTGCACTTTATCCGTACATCTTTTGCCTGAAATACACAAACACAGTCCCATTATATCCTGAACTCTTGACGGCTCGATCGCTGGGCCGCTGTCAGGAGTTATTGGGATACCTGGAATCTGGCCCATTGAAATGAACACGCGGTCCATCTTGATTCTGGGACGAGCTCTCGCGATTAAAAACACTCCAGTAAACGCCAGCAGACACCTGAGTGACACACACACATCTTAAACCGCAAACAAACAGGCAAATATTGTTCTAAATTATAATAATCTTTGAGAAATGCTCACCCAATCAGAAACATGATGATGTATATCAAAGATAAACCATAAAATTCTTCATAAAATAAAATGCCTAGAAATACAAAAATATTCTGTTAAGCAGTTTTGTGTTTCCAGGAAGGAAAAGCAACTGGTCTTTATTCAGCAAAACACATTTAAACGACTGACCAGCTACGACGGCACTCGCGGTGAAGAAAACATAATTGATGGGCACGATCTCAGTGGCGTCGAACATCTTCATGGCCTGATTCAGAAACCTGAGCAAATGGAGAGAAATGAGCAGGATTCTTCTGAGCACAGTAAGTGATCAGTGAAGGGTCAGACGCACTTGATCTGAAAGGCGCAGGACGTCACCATGATGATGAACATGATGTAGAAGATGGGATAGGTGAGCTGCAGGTGACTTCCACGGATCGTCTCTGTGATCATTCCTGAAACTGCTTTCACCGAGATCACCGTCACCGAAGCTGCAACAAACACGCTTACTGATACAATGTAACGGTCTATTCATCATGATAAATATCATCATCAAACTATTTTAATCTCTATAGACAGAAATACACTTCTATTCCAAAACTGAGAGATGGTTTTGGAGTGGTTCTGGATATTGTGGTTTGAAATGATATTTGGATACATTTAAATGGTCTTAAACCATTTCTGGTGGATTCTCTTGAGATTTATCTTCTTTTTCATCAAAAAACTAAGTAATGAAACGACCAGATTCCTTGATGGCACATAAAATGTCTCAAAAACTGATTTTCATTTTCTCCATCTGCTCTTGTGAGTGAAGAATTTAATGATGTGATTGAATAACCTGTTGTCTTTCTCATCATCTTCAGTTTCATACCAACGAGACCAGAATCTGTTCTTACCGAGTAACGCCACCAAGATCATCATGATCACGATGTGTTTCATGTTCCTGCACTTATACAAATACATCAGGATAGCGAAGAGAATCAGTTCAAACATCTGCAGAGAGAGACAGAAAAAGATTCGTTCTGAAGAGCCAAATCATTTATATGTGATTAAGTGACATTCAAGTCTGCCGAGGACTTTATTTCACTTCTCTAGGTGTCACTTTACTAATGCCACCTTCTGTCAAATGTGTTGGGTTAGCTGTACTGTATCTTGGTCAAGATTACAACGACTTACAAAGTAAATCAGGAAGGTCCAGCTGACCAGCGAGCGCTCCACCATGTTGGCCGTGACATGAGGCGATGAATGAGGGGCGAATGTCACCAGAAAGTAGGTTCCGGTCATCGCTAAAGCGCCTCCTGTGAACAAAAACACCTTCATTACAAGAACTCTTAAGTCTGAGGAAAGTTGATTGAAATGTGTTCATGTTACATTATCATGTAACATGTATTATCATGTATTATCTTGCTCAAAGAAAACAAAAATAACGACTTTATTCAACAATTTCTTCTCTTCTGTGTCAGTCTTCGACGCGCGTTCACGACAGTACCATGACACATGCGTGTGATGCTGCTGACGCAGGAGCCGGCGTTCTGTCGTAGAACACGCATGCGCTGCGGCTTGTTTACGAGCAGAGGAATGCACACGTGTCATGAATGCTCATTGACTGACACAGAAGATAAGTAATTGTTGAATAAAGTCGAATAAAGTTAATTTTGTTTTCTTTGTGCTCAAAAAGTATTCTCGAAGCTTCATAAAATTACGGCTGAACCACTGCTGTCACATGGACTATTTTAACGATGTCCTTACTGCGTTTCAGGGCCTTGAACGTTTCAGCTGCGTTGCTGTCTATGCAGGGTCAGAAAGCTCTCGGATTTCATCAGAAATATCTTAATTTGTGTTCTGAAGATGAACGAAGATCTTACGGGTTTGGAATGACATGAGGGTGAGTAATTAATGACAGAATTAAAATTTTTTGAACTATGTGGGAGAGTTTTAATGACCCTTTAGCTCAGTACTAACTGGTTGAACTGACGATTTTACAAACTTTCCCCAGTCTTGCTTTATATGTATATATAATATAACTTTAATTATTAATTATTTGTATTAATTAGTTTAATTATTTTCCTACAAAACAAGAGAAGACTGAGAAAAACTTCATTATGAGACGTTAGAAGGACTCTCTCACCGAGGATATCTGAAGCCCGTAACGTTTCCTTGAGGAACACCACAGAAATGACGGCACTCACTGAAAGAGAGAAACAGAGCCAGCTTTTCATGCTTTTGAACATCGTTTGGAGAGTAAAATACTGACTCTTGATCTACAGAACTGCAGCATTTGGACCCGTGATCAAATGTGTCGTGTTTTAATGAACAGAGGGAAGGACTTACCGATGACAGACACACAGCCGAGAGGAGCGATGAGCGACGCCGGAGCGAATCCATACGCAGCAAAATTCCCCAGCTCCCCCAAACCCATCAGCAGGATCCCGCACCACCACAGATGGCTGGTGTAGTACGGCTTCGTCCCTCGCTGCAACTGCCGCACATGCGTGTATTTCTGCACAAACACCAGCGACACTACAACAGTTGAGCAGAGGACCTCTAAACATCAAACACACAGCACCGAAACACTGACAGAGCGTTTGTGTGTGTGATCGTGTGAGCGAGCTGAGCATCACCTGGATATTCAAGGAGATGCTGATGAGAAAGTTTCCACATACTGCGATGCAGATCCCCAAGATATAAACCTACGAACACAAAACATCAGCTCAGGGGCATCCCTAGTGTGGGGAGATGGGACGGAGTACAGGGGCACGGAGACGTGATGAGCCAAATCGATACACTGTACATGGGGCCCAGAGAACCCAGTGACGCCACCAAACCAGCACTTTCCTCATCCCTAAAACATCATTTGCTGAATTATTTCTCCAGGACCAACAAGGATTATTCAAGAACATGAGCTACATGTTCAAAATCAGCGTCACATAGATAGTGCAGTGTGTGTCAAAGCAAAACTCTTCAGATATTTAGCAGGAAAAACTCAGAACTGAATTCTCAGGTGTAATTGCTGTAGCTTAAGTTTATTATTTCAGATCGGTAGTCACTTATTTCAGGTTGTAGTCACTGTAGATTGAGTTTAGTTTCCGATTAGAGGTTGTAGTCGCTGTAGATTGAGTTTAGTTTCAGATTAGAGGTTGTAGTCACTGTAGATTAAGTTTAGTTTCCGATCAGAGGTTGTAGTCGCTGTAGATTGAGTTTAGTTTCAAATTAGAGGTTGTAGTCGCTGTAGACTGAGTTTAGTTTCAGAATAGAGTTTGTAGTCACTGTAGATTGAGTTTAGTTTCCGATTAGAGGTTGTAGTCGCTGTAGATAGTTTAGTTTCAGATTAGAGGTTGTAGTCACTGTAGATTGAGTTTAGTTTCCGATTAGAGGTTGTAGCCGCTGTAGATTGAGTTTAGTTTCAGATTAGAGGTTGTAGTCACTGTAGATTGGGTTTAGTTTCAGATTAGAGGTTGTAGTCAGTGTAGATAGAGTTTAGTTTCCGATTAGAGGTTGTAGTCGCTGTAGATGGAGTTTAGTTTCAGATTAGAGGTTGTAGTCACTGTAGATTGAGTTTAGTTTCCGATTAGAGGTTGTAGTCGCTGTAGATGGAGTTTAGTTTCAGATTAGAGGTTGTAGTCACTGTAGATTGAGTTTAGTTTCCGATTAGAGGTTGTAGTCGCTGTAGATTGAGTTTAATTTCCGATTAGGTTGTAGTCACTGTAGATTGAGTTTAGTTTCCGATTAGAGGTTGTAGTCGCTGTAGATAGTTTAGTTTCAGATTAGAGGTTGTAGTCACTGTAGATAGTTTAGTTTCAGATTAGAGGTTGTAGTCACTGTAGATAGTTTAGTTTCAGATTAGAGGTTGTAGTCACTGTAGATAGTTTAGTTTCAGATTAGAGGTTGTAGTCACTGTAGATTGAGTTTAGTTTCAGATTAGAGGTAATAGTCGCTGTAGATTAAGTTTATTGTTTCAGATTAGAGGTTGTAGTCACTGTAGATAGAGTTTAGTTTCAGATCAGAGGTTGTAGTCGCTGTAGATTGAGTTTAATTTCCGATTATAGGTTGATTCCTGTATTATTATTTTTGTACCTCCATCCTGGATCTTCACCTGTCCTTCCCACAAGGCATGTAAAGAAACAAACACACTGCACCACTGGCAAATGAAAAGAACAACAGACACAAATTCAACACAGCTGTGGTCATGTTCATCTCTCCGACATTCAGCTGCTGTTTGGAGCTCAACGATCAGTGTGTTACGGTCTGTGTACATTCATGCAGATCAGACAGAGCTCACACATGACAGAAGTGCCGTTACAAGGGCACAATCGTCGTCCGGTGGCACCTAGCACTTTAGCATCGGCCCCCAGTGCACGCCACTATATAAATATATTCTAATTAATTATGAACAATATTGACCTTCTTCATGTCAAACTTCATAAATCTTAAAAAACAAACAAACAAACAAAAAACCTTAGGAAACAACCTGACATCAAACACCCACAGTACTTGACGATAAACAACCACTCAACAGGCCACAAAATAACACGTATAATAAGGCTTGAATTAAAAGCTCAGTCCACACTTATGAATATTAACAGCAGTATCTTCAACAAAAGAGTTATGAGCAGAAATACATACGGCTTCTCTGGTACAGGAACGGGAGGCAGTGCTGGGTCTCTGTGTGTGTGTGTGTGTGTGTGTGTGTGTGTGTGTGTGTGTGTTCATGCTTACAGGACTCTTTGTGCAGGACAGGACAATAGTGTTCTGTGAGTGTGTGTGAGTTGCAGGCGGGGGCAGTCTGTGCTGGATGGACAGTAGATCTATTATCTTACTTTACAGCACATTCTTGCATGCTAACACTGAGAATGTGTGTTTTAATGTGTGATTGTAAGGTTTACAGTAACACAAGTGGCCTTTGAAACATTAATAAATAAAACGACCAACATAAACGTAAAGAAAAATTTGTTTAAAGATAAATAAAAGAAAAAGCTATTTTTTTTCTGTATATTATTTACAAAGGCTGGTGTTTGAACTGTGCTTTTCTCAACATGCTGATTTTTTTATCATCTCAACTGGAGGTCTAGACATTTACATTTTCTCCCAAGGTTTTTTTCTCCATTTCTTTAGCTGGGGACACTTGACTGATTGCACAGACACTATTGAAGAGAGCTGAACTGGATGATGACGTCACTGAATCAATTAACTGACTTTAGCTGAAAAATGACTCCGTTATCGTCGTCTTGCATCATTGACAAACTATTTTCCTGTTTGACTCTGTAAAGCTGCTTTGACACAATCACTCAGTATTGTATAAAGCGTTATACAAATGAAGGTGACTTGACTTGACATTTATTAATCAAATACTTTTATCCAGACATTATTTTATCTAGTGAAAACCACAATGGCCAAAACAAAAAAAAAAGGCTCCTGAGATGCTTCACCCCAGTTATGATCATGGCAGATATCATATTTACAGTGCGATGCTCTTCTGATCGGTAAAATCCGTGGATTCTTCATGACACTGTAGGATATTTTTCCAAAACTGACTTAAAGTCATCAGCGGTCTAACATTTTAAACTGACAGAAGCGTGTTTTTGTGTCTATCGCCTCCGTCATGTGCGGGATGCGGCGGCGTCACTGTCGTGCGCGTGCTGAGAGTGAACGCTGGAACATCGCCCCGAGTTTATAACGCTCTAAATCGCTTCACATATGAGTCATGTCATGTGCGTTAGAAACGGGCTCGGAGCGAAATCACCGCGCTCAGTTGCACCGGGAGGATTCATCGAGCTGTTCGCGATTCTTGTGACAGATGAAAGGTTTCTTTGAGGAAATCTGCCGCTTCGAGGGAGACGATGCAGTAAATGGATATATTGATGGGAGAGCGTCTGTAAATTCAATTCAATTCAAGTTTATTTGAATAGCGCCTTTCGCGTTTCTCAGAAATTAAGTTTCTACAATATATTTAGTAGTAGCTTGTCAGTGGTATGTCAAATTGATGTGCATATAGCAGAAATGTAGGAAAATTTCAGTTAATGACGTAATAAAACAGACGATGAACACTATTAACAGCAATTATTATAAAACAGGTATCATGTTTCGTAACTTGGCAATGTTTCTAAGATGGAAGAATGCTGTTTTTGTAACATGGGAAATATGATTTTCAAAAGACAAGTTGCTATCTAATATAACACCCAGATTTTTGACTGTAGAGGAAGTAACAGTACATCCGTCTAGTTGCAAATTGTAATCCAAGAGATTCTGTGTACTGTCTTTTGGTCCAATAAGTAATATCTCTGTCTTATCCGAATTCAATAGGAGAAAATTATTGGTCATCCAATCTTTTACATTTTTAATACACGCTGTTAGCTTAGATAATTTAGAAGTTTCATCTGTTGTCTTGTTGTAAATGGTTTTCTCATTCTGCTTTATTTGCACCAGACTGCAGCTCCTCAGAGAAAGACCAAACTCACAGTGACTGTGTTTCCCTCATCCTCTGATTGATCCGTCATGACCGGGCAGAGCGCCTGCGTGCCGGAGGAGGGAGCTATATGCATCAATGTGGGAGGATTCAGGCGGCGGCTGCTGTCCAAGCGACTCTCTCGCTTCCCTGAGACCAGACTCGCACGCCTGCTGAGGTGTCGGTCCAAAGAGTCCATCCTCGAACTGTGCGACGACTACAACGACTCTGAGAACGAGTTCTACTTTGACCGCAATCCGGCGCTCTTCCCTTATGTTTTACACTTCTACAACACAGGGAGGCTACACGTCATGGATGAACTCTGCATCTTCTCCTTCAGTCAGGAGATCGAGTACTGGGGCATCGACGAGCTGTTCCTGGACTCGTGCTGCAGCGGCTCCTATCACTGCCGCAAGATGGAGCCCGAGGAGACGGACTGGGACGACATGAGCGAGGAGAGAAGCACCACTTCATCTTTTGATAAGATCCTGGAGTTCTATAACGATGCCGGTAAATTTGACAAGCAGCTGCTGGGAAGCGTCCGGCGGAGAATCTGGTTGATGTTGGACAATCCTAGCTATTCGATCCCCAGCCGGCTCATCAGTATCTTCTCCATTCTATGGTAGCTATGGTGCTGGGCTCCATAGCTACCATGTGCATGAACAGCATGAGTGAGTTCACGCTCCTGGACGCCGACGGCGGGCCCCGCGAGGATCCTCGCTTCGAGGGCGTGGAGCACTTCGGCATCGGCTGGTTCACGCTCGAGCTGCTGGCCAGATTCACTGTGGCTCCAGACCTTCTGCATTTCTTCGAACACCCGCTGAACCTGATCGACCTGGTGTCCATCCTGCCCTTTTACTTGACCCTGCTGATGCACCTGGTGGTGGAGAGCGGCCCGGCGCTGGCGAACCTGGGCCGAGTGGCTCAGGTGCTAAGGCTGATGAGGGTCTTCCGCATCCTGAAGCTGGCGCGTCACTCCACGGGCCTGCGCTCGCTCGGAGCCACGCTCAAGAACAGCTACAAAGAGATCGGCCTGCTGCTACTGTATCTGGCCGTCGGAGTGTCCTTCTTCTCCGTCATGGCCTACACCGTGGAGAAGGAGGACAACGAGGGACTGAACACCATCCCGGCCAGCTGGTGGTGGGCCACAGTCAGCATGACCACCGTGGGATACGGCGACGTGGTTCCCGGCTCCGTCGTGGGCAAGTTGACGGCCTCAGCCTGCATACTGGCGGGAATATTGGTTGTCGTGCTTCCGATCACTTTGATATTTAATAAATTTTCTCTGTATTATAAGAGACAGACACAGCTGGAGACCGTCATGCGGAGCTGTGACTTCGATGGGGGAGTAAAGGAGGCTCCATCTGTGAATCTGAGGAATTATTATGCTCATAAAGTCAAAACACTGATGGCCAGTCTGTCCAACATGAGCCGCAGTTCACCCAGCGATCACAGTCTAAACATGTCTCTGCATTAGACGGGAACAGTGTGACATCAGCGGGGTGTGTGTGTGTTTTCATCATGGATCTCACACCTAATTCTGATCTTAATAGCAAAACTCGCAGAACATCTGATCATAATAAGGGTGTGTGTATATACGAGCCGGAATGGGACACTCAGTGTAACAACTTCTTCAGCTGGGTTTTCTCTCAGCTTTCTCTCCCATTCTCCAGCATGCGCAGCGGCTTCGTTTGGCGGCGGCTGCTGTCCAAGCGACTCTCTCGCTTCCCTGAGACCAGACTCGCACGCCTGCTGAGGTGTCGGTCCAAAGAGTCCATCCTCGAACTGTGCGACGACTACAACGACTCTGAGAACGAGTTCTACTTTGACCGCAATCCGGCGCTCTTCCCTTATGTTTTACACTTCTACAACACAGGGAGGCTACACGTCATGGATGAGCTCTGCATCTTCTCCTTCAGTCAGGAGATCGAGTACTGGGGCATCGACGAGCTGTTCCTGGACTCGTGCTGCAGCGGCTCCTATCACTGCCGCAGGATGGAGCCCGAGGTGAGCGACTGGGAGGAGAGGAGCGAGGAGGCCAGCACCACCTCCTCCTTCCACGAGATCCTGGACTTCTACAGCGACGCCGGCAAATTTGACAAGCAGCTGCTCGGAAGCGTCCGGCGGAGGATCTGGCTGATGCTGGACAATCCCGGCTACTCGATCCCCAGCCGGCTCATCAGCATCTTCTCCATTCTGGTGGTGCTGGGCTCCATCGCCTCCATGTGCATGAACAGCATGAGCGAGTTCACGCTGCTGGACGCTGATGGAAAGCCCCGCGAGGACCCTCGCTTCGAGGCCGTGGAGCACTTCGGCATCGGCTGGTTCACGCTGGCCAGATTGGCCAGATTCACTGTGGCTCCAGACCTTCTGCATTTCTTCGAACACCCGCTGAACCTGATGTCCATCCTGTCCATCCTGCCCTTTTACTTGACCCTGCTGATGCACCTGGTGG